TGTGCCAGTGCGCGTGCGCGTGTGTACTTTGGCGCGAAGCTCTGTCATTGGCCTAGAGATGTGCGTCTTCAATCCGCGATGTGCCAGTGCGCGTGCGCGTGTGTACTTTGGCGCGAAGCTCTGTCATTGGCCTAGAGATGTGCGTCTTCAATCCGCGATGTGCCAGTGCGCGTGCGCGTGTGTACTTTGGCGCGAAGCTCTGTCATTGGCCTAGAGATGTGCGTCTTCAATCCGCGATGTGCCAGTGCGCGTGCGCGTGTGTACTTTGGCGCGAAGCTCTGTCATTGGCCTAGAGATGTGCGTCTTCAATCCGCGATGCGCGAAGCCAGTAACTAACGCGCAACATGTACTTTCAGCGCGAAGGATTCTCATTGGTTAATGAGAAGTGTATTTGAATCCGCGGGGGGCTATATAAGGAGTACTTTACGAGCACAAGAGTTAGTTAAATTAGAGTTAAATTGAGACTACTAACCAGGGGACTAAGGTTAGACAACAGTTAGGGTAGCCAGCTAGGGACACACAAAGAGAGAGTAGTTAGATAGGATGAAGAGGTTAAAATTAGAGTAAAAGTTAGATAGTAAGAATAGGGTTCAATTGAGATATAGAAGAGTAGGATATAGTTAGGAGTAAACGTAAACATTTTACCGGGGGGAAAGGAGTGGGAATTAGATTGGATGTCAACCAAGGGCGTGTAACTTCTACTGTTTGTCACCTCCGCGAATGCGGACATGTTTTTGTATGGAATAAACGGCTCTCTTTAAGCCATTAAAACGTATTCCCGGCTTGTGTAGTATCTCTGTCGAGCTACATCCACGCACACTCACGCACTCCGCAGACCTTCCGAAGAGCCGGCGATAAACCGCCGGTAGGTAAAGAACACAACGCAACAAGGTACTATACGATCACGAAAACGGTGAGAAGAAGAGGCGACGAAGAAACGCCACATTGGTGCTGCGTGACCACACACGCGACACACACCAAAAAGAGAAACGCCACATTGGTACGTGTGAACAGAGGATCACACAAAAACGCCACGCATGTTCAACGTTAAAATTTCAACGTTGTTTTAACGGTGATTTGTCGACACTGTTTCAACAGTTGAATATTCAACGTTGATTCAACGTACAACATTCAACGCACATTCAACGTTGAAATTTCAACGTTGTTTCAACGTTGACTTAGCAACTCTTTTTCAACTTTTGACTAAATGTTGTTATCACAACGTTGATTCAACGTACAACATTCAACGCATATTCAACGTTGAAATTTCAACGTTGTTTCAACGTTGACTTAGCAACTCTTTTTCAACTTTTGACTAAATGTTGTTATCACAACGTTGATTTAACGTACAACATTCAACGCATATTCAACGTTGTTTCAACGGTGATTTGCCGACACTGTTTCAACCGTTGAATATTCAACGTTGATTCAACGTATAACATTCAACGCATATTCAACGTTGTAATTTCAACGTTGTTTCAACGTTGACTTAGCAACTCTTTTTCAACTTTTGACCAAATGTTGTTATCACAACGTTGATTCAACGTACAACATTCAACGCATATTCAACGTTGAAATTTCAACGTTGTTTCAACGGTGATTTGTCGACACTGTTTCAACCGTTGAATATTCAACGTTGTTTCAACGGTGATTTGTCGACACTGTTTCAACCATTGAATATTGAACGTTGACTCAACGTACAATATTCAACGCATATTCAACGTTGTAATTTAAACGTTGTATCAATGTTGACTTAGCAACTCTTTTTGAACTTTTGACTAAATGTTGTTATCACAACTGTGGCGAAGTCGATCCAGTCCGTGTGTTGCCCGTCATCTCCTTGTAGCATCGTCAACGTTACAGTTACACGTTAATTGTGATCATGCAGGAATTGATGTTATAGAGGGCGCGAGCAAGCGAACGTGTGCGCGCATGACATTGTAATGTGAGGCGAGCGTGCTCGCTCTCTTGACGGCCAACAGTAGAAGCGGCCGGACGTGTTATCCGCCCGGTCTCTCTTGACGGCCAACAGTAGAAGCGGGCGGACGTGTTATCCGCCCGGTCTCTCTTGACGGCCAACAGTAGAAGCGGGCGGACGTGTTATCCGCCCGGTCTCTCTTGACGGCCAACAGTAGAAGCGGGGGAACTGGTACGTGTTATCGCCCGGCTCTCTTGACGGCCAAACAGTAGAAGGCGAGCGGAGTCGTTATCCGCCCCGGCTCTCTTGACGGCCAACAGTAGAAGCGGGCGGACGTGTTATCCGCCCCGGCTCTCTTGACGGCCAACAGTAGAAGCGGGCGGACGTGTTATCCGCCCGGCTCTCTTGACGGCCAATATGTAGAAGGGGCGGATCGTGTATCCGCCCGGTCTCTCTTGCGGCCAACAGTAGAACGGGCGGACTGTTTATCCGCCCCGGCTCTTCTTGACGGCCACACAGATAGAAGGCGGCGGGACGTTGTTATCCGCCCCGTTCTCTTGACGGCCAACAGGTAGAAAGCGGGCGGACGTTATCTCCCCCAGGGCTCTCTTGACGGCCAACAGTTAGAAGCGGGCGGATCGTGTCTATCCGCCGGCTCTCTTGACGGCCGAACAGTAGAAGCGGCGGACGTGTTATCCGCCCGGTCTCTCTTGACGGCCAAAGTAGAGGCCGCGGCGACGTCTGTTATCCGCCCCGGCTTCTCTTGACGGCCAACAGTTAGAGGGGGAGATGTTATCCGCCCGGCTCTTCTTGACGGCCAACGCAGTAGGAAGCGGGCGGACGTGTTATCCGCCCGGCCTCTCTTGACGGCCAACAGTTACGAAGCGGGCCGGACGTTTATCGCCCCGGCTCTCTTGACGGCCAACAGTAGAAGCGGGCGGCACGTGTTATCCGCCCGGCTCTCCTTGACGGCCAAACAGTGGTAGAAGCGGGCGACGTGTTATCCGCCCCGGCCTCTCTTGACGGGCCAACAGTTAGTAAAGCGGGCGACGTGTGATCCGCCGGCCTCTCTTGACGGCCAACAGTAGAAGCGGTCGGACGGTTATCCACCCCTGCTTCTCTTGACCGGCCAACAGTAGAGCGGGCGGACGTGTTATCCGCCCGCGGCTCGGCTTGACGGCCAACAGTAGAAGCGGGCGGAGGCCGTGTTATCCGCCCCGGCTTACTCTTGTACGCGCCACAGTAGAACGGGCTGGACGTGTTATCCGCCGGGTCTCTCTTGACGGCAACAGTAGAAGCGGGAGCGTTGTTATCCGCCCCGGGCTCTCTGACGGCAAACAGTAGAAGCGGGCGCGACGTGGTTATGCGCCCGGTCTCTCTTGACGGCAACAGTTAGAAGCGGGCGTATGTGGTATATCCGCCGGTCTCTCTTGAACGGCCAACAGTGAGCGGGCGTGCACGATGGTTCATCCGCCCCGGCTCTTTTGACGGCCACAGTAGAAGCGGGCGACGTGATTGATGCCGCCGGGTTCTCTTGACGGCCAACAGTAGAGCGGCGGAGTGTTATGCCGGCCCCGGCTCTCTTGACGGCCAACAGTAGAAGCCGGCGCGCGACGTTTATCCGCCCCGGCTCTCTTGACGGC